GATAGGGTTATACACGCTTCCATTACTAAATCGAAACCTTTAGATTTAAGTGGGCCCAAAAATTTCAAATATAAGGGTTAAGAATTAATGACTTTTTATTTTTCCTAGTTTTATTAATCAGCTCTTATCTTCTTCGTTCTAACTTGGATTTTAAATTCTTTTGCACATATGGAACGAGTTCGTTGTGCTATACAAAATGATACCCATTTTAAATATCTTCTTAGAAAAAAAATTCATACATGTCGTTACCAACTCCATACCACGTGGTATCTCCTTCGTTTTTAAGTCATTTTTGAAAAGATTTGCACAGAATAAAAGACTTCATCATGATCTATTGGATCTATAAATTTTTGGGGTGAAAAATACGGGACCAAAAAATGCCACATCATATTACCCTGGTGTGGGGGTATCTTGTGGTACACAATGTTGAATGTCGTAAATAACAGTTAGTATATTCCTACTATCATGTATTCAACCATCCAACAGTCTGGTATGTTCATACCACCATGGTAAGCTTTCACACCATATGATATGTTCTTATTTAATATCAATCAATACCATATGGTATAGACTAGTAATAAATGTCTTAATTTTTTTCAAAAACTAAATCAAAGTGAATATCATTTGGAAGAGCACAATTAATCTAATTTATCAGTGCAAAAAAAAATTAAATTTCGACTTAAAACAATAGAGAAATCGTATATTAAAATTAAAAGGAAAATGTTTGAGGTCTTCTATAAATAGCAAGAAGTACTGATGTGACGGTTGATGGTTGTATTATGCATGTTTACTAATCATAGAGTTACTAATTGAATCGTCTCTAGGAAAAAAAAACAGAACTAGAGAAAAGTCCGAGCTTGACAGGCTAGTTAAACCGTCTTCGTGGTTGCTTGCAACCCTTGCGAAACCAATCTTCAAGTTCAAGTCTCCAGGCTTCAATTTTATTGTACAACATTTTTTTGCTTCTAATTGCGGTATATTATGCTTTGGGTTGGGTTTAATAAAATAGAAGACAACTAGTGTTGGCAATATGAATAAGTCCCGCGAGTATTATCTGATTTGATTCGTGATGGGGGAGATTATTCGACTCGTAGTAGTGTGGGGGCCCCATGGGTATCGACTTTCAACCCGCCCTGCCTCGCCCTTTTTTTTTCATTCTATCTCAATTTTTACAGTATTTATTCAATTTTTTTTCTATTTTGACTTTTCTTCAACTAGTTAGACTAAATAACCGATTCTATTATCACTATTGTTCATTCACAAAGTGTTTTCCCCTTCATTTTATCGTAAAAAATATATTTTTTCATGTATTTTTTTCAAATAACATCTAAGAGTAGGTCGACCTGTCCCGCCTCGTACCTGTGTGGGTATTACTCACCCCGACCTTCAATAACGTGAGACTGGACATGGGTATTGAGATACTCGCCCCATTGCCATCACTAAACACAGCTTGTGAATTTTGTTTACTAGTTACATAATGTAAAGTGAGCTTGGTATGATTCAGCCTGCATGTGGGCATCGGGCTAGGCCGCCCTGACAAGAGCATGGACACGAAATATAAGGGCAAGCGCGATACAAGCACTAATAATTCATGGACAGCGTTGGGTCTAAACTTCATGAGCACTGGCACGACACAGTATGTAAGTGGGTCATGCCGAGTCTAATATTTTCGAGACCTTATTGAATATAAGAGCGAAAATGGAACGAAAATAATATATTTTTGATATAAATACATATAAAAAGGATTATATGTCAAATATTACAGGTACAAAATAATTATTTAATGTTGTTAGAAGTGATCATAAAGATATATGCGTAGTTACTACCATAAGTAAAAATGGATGAAAAATTAAACGAAACCAAATCACCCCGTTATATTTCCAATTTTCTCTCCCCCCCTCCCTCCTCCCCCTTATTTGTTATATTTCTCAAACATCCTATGTTAATACTTAAATTCTTCGTCCAACTTTCTCTTTTTTTCATTGCCGCTTTTATTTTCTTTATTTTCATTAAGCACGAATAGACACGAGCCTAGCAAAAGTAACAAATGGGTCGGCACGGCATGCCACGAAAATTGAAGGGTCGTGCGAAGCACGACGCAAAAAAAAAAAAAAAAAAAAAGGGCACGAAGCACGTCCTTGTCGTGCCGGCATAAGCAATTAAGCACGGCCCATCGCCCACTTACAATTCAGCCCGTAGTCAAGTCAAATTAGTATGAGACCAAATGTAAAAATAAATAAATGACGATCAAAGATGAATTAAAAGCACATTCGTTCTGACTCGGTTGTGTCCGATTTTGATTAAGTGCACTTTTTTTCCTTTACTTTTAAGCAGTGTTATAAATCAGACAGGAGAAAATCGGATTCGTCCAATGATCTGGTCACGGAAGCCACAAAACGGGGAGAAAGTTGGTCGGTCAGGTCGTGGATGGTTGTAGTAGCTAACCGGCCAATCCGAACCAATGATTTTGGCAGATGATGAATCAAAAATAAAAATTGAAAAAACATCGCAGATCTTGAGAGCTCCGATTACTATTTCTCCTAGACCGCCAGTGTTTCTCGCTGTGCTATTAGTCTCATTTCTCATCTCAACCGCCAGTGTCTTTTATCATCTGTTCTCATAAAAAGTAAGGAGAATAAATCTGCAACTCTGGGTTCTTCTATGCATAGAGAAATAGAGATTGTTATTCAACGAAAAAAAAAAAAAAAGAATTAGAGATTGCAATTCAAAATAGGAAGATACCAGAGAGAATGAGAGAAAGGAAAAGGGAGATGACAAAGATGCGATAGAGCGAAAAAGAGAAAGACAGAGAGTGAGTGAGGAAATATAAGTGTGAGAGATGGCGTTTGTGATTTCATTTAGAAAATAGAGAAAAAGAGGGGAAGATGAGAGATAATGAGTAACAGAAAAATCGGAAAATAAATTATGGGGAGGACAGAGAATTGATTTCCTTCTCATAATCATTTTTTTAACAATTTTATAAATTATGTAAGACTTAGGGTTAATACCACTACAACACCCGAACTATCCAAAAAATATCACTTGTGTTCTATTGTTTCCAATATTCCATCTGTGTCCTGAACTATATGAGTTTGTGACATTTGTGTCATGGCATCTTACGTTGACCGTTAAAGATAACAGTTGACTTGACGAAAGTCAAACTAGTGTTGACTTTCGCAGATGTGGTAGAAAAGTGGCATCCACGTAGATGCCACCTTATTGACATGTCATTACTTAATTAAAAATAAAATTATTTTAAAAAATTATAATAACTATAATACAAAAAATACAAAATTCTTAGAAATTAAAAAATAAATTGCTCCCCCCTTCCCAATCTCCCCATCTCTGCTTCTTCCTCTTCTCCCATTCTACAATGGCAACCCAAACGACAGTGAAGCTCTCCTCGATTGGATTCGACGACGCCTGCCTTCTCCCGTTCGACGACGGCTGTCAGCGGCGGGTGTGTGGAAAGACGCCGAGAAATCAAGCGGCAAGTTTTCACCTCTCCAGCTCTGCCACATCTCCACAAGTCGTCGATTCATCTCCAGATCTATCTTTCCTCTGCCCGCAAGTTCATCTCCATCTCTTTGTCACCGCTTGGCTTCGATCGCCTCTTGCAGTCGTCCAGAAGTGGAAATGGTTTTTTCTCTTTCCAGATCCGGATTTTAAAGCTCAATGTTTCAAGCCGCCGCTCACCAACTCGCCTCCTCGGCGGTCTTCGTGGCCGGTCAAACACGAGGAAGTCCCTTGTAAAGCGCCGCGGCGGCCTGAGTTGCGGCCAGGGTGGCGGCCTTCTGGAGGAGCGCGGTGGTGGAGAGGTGGTGCGACAGTGGATGAGGGTGGTGGTAGAGGGGTGATGAGATCGGGAATTGATGAGATTCCGGTTTGATGTGGATGATCTGCCAGGCCGCCGCCGGTAAGATTTGTGACAAGAGAGGAGAAGAGGAATGGGAACCTTCTAGGGTTTGTTGGAGCGGCGGGTTGTTTGGTGTAGTTGCGGCGGCGAAGGCGAGTTGGTGGGCTACTCCTCTTTCCCTTGCGTTCCTCACTCCATCAGCTTCTCTGTGTCTTCCTCCACCTCCATTCCATTGAAACAGGGGAATCGTGCAGGAGAGGAGAGACAGACCTGTGGAGAGAGAAAGGGCTAGAGAAGCAGGGTCGCCGATAGGGGTTCATCGGAGATCAAAGGAAAAGGACGGTCGGAGATGAGGCGACGAACGACGGATCGGATGGAATTGATTGAAGTTTTGGTGAGAAGGTGCGGATTTTTCTTCAGAAGTTGGAGAGAAAGAAAGTGAATTGATTTGAGCTATTGTTTTATTTTTGTAATTTTCCATAATTTTTATTTTGTTTTCCTTATTTTAATTATTTTAGATGGAAAAATAAATGAAAATTCCAAGTCAAACGCCACGTCAACGATGACTGGATTTTCTGTTAAATACTAACGGTCAACGCCGGTCAACACTAACGGAATAATAGTTCAGGACGCAGATGGAATATTGGAAACAATAAGACACAAATGACATTTTCCGGATAGTTCGGGTGGTGGTGTAGTGGTATTAGCCCTAAAGCTTATATTAAATTTAAAATTATGTTACCGTGACCTTCTAAACAACTTTATTATCATTATACTATTATTTTTTTACTATTATATGTCACCAGATTTTGAATGATTTTTTCCGGTTAGCCAATAAATCGTAAACTTCTCACTAATCCGGATCGAAGTCCGGTCCGATTTTGACAACAATGCTTTTAAGAGTTTTGTGGAACCAAAGCCAATCATGGTAACTATCAAAACCGAGTTGAATTATAATCAGCTCATTCAGAATCAATCCACATGTCCATCTAGTCATATTCATGTTAGACCGAGTCGATAACCACCCCTAAGAATCTGGTTTTAGCACATACTGAGATTTGATGAACCTGCAATTTCATGTTGCTGCCCCTAAGAGTAACATTTTGTAGACAAGTCAACAAAGAAATGCAGCAAAACAGAACGTTCGAGAAGCATATTTGTATTCACTACAAAACCTAGATTTCAAGCTGTATACAAGATTCTAGAATCCATCGATTTATACAAGTAGGTCACAAGAATAGCGACATCTCAGGGCCAGGAATGAAGGAGAGAGTACCTTCACCGAACAAATCAAACAATGACACTAGAAGACGCCCCGAATTCAGGTCATCCTTCCATACTAGATCCACAATGGCTGACTTCTTCAGTGCTCGACGATCTCCCTCATCTCTCCTGTCTTTCTGTCCCGATTCACCGCCATTCTTTTCTTGCTGGATGGTGGTTGACGGCCCAGCATTGGCATCATTAAAAGGTTCACCTGTTGTGACAATTTGCATTTGAGATGGTGAGGAACCAGAAGTTACTGCCATATCAACTGGGCCATCAGTAGATCTTATCTTCTTCACTTGAGGTTGCTCCTCGATTTCAGTGGTTTCCTTGCGTTTATCTTGGATGATTGACAGTAAAAGAACTTAGAGCTCTTTAACTTTTGAAATTCTTATGAGGATGAATGACATAAAAAAGCATTGTTGTGGGTGAAAGGATGAGTCTATAGACTTACTAGGTCTTCCAGTAAACACCTTGTGGTTCGTCCTCCATACAGTGTGTGGTGGAATGGAGGGCAGAGTTGGAAACAGTTTCAATCTTTCATATACAGATTGACCAGCAGCACACTGAAAAGGTTTCAATGTTGAGTAAGACATATCCTGATTAACACAGTACAAGATCATTCATTGTAAGATGGCAGTTTACCAATAGGGCCCCGTAGACACGCCAAGCTTCATGCCTCTTCATCTCGTTCTTCTGCTTCTCGAGAAGCATGTCTGGTTCAAGGAGTCGCAGGTAAGGCTCTAGATTCGATAGTAAAAGTAAGCGGACCTGCCAAGAGGAGAATGAATCACTAGTGAAAATGCGCTGTGGATTAACCATCAAAGCGATTTTGTTCCATAAATAAACAGAATCATATTTGGACACGCATCATCACTTTACTAGCATCTTTAACTGCTTAGACGGAAAAGTAGAAAGTACCACGTTGGACCCTAATGCTGCCAACCCTTGAATTGCTCCATAATGCTGAGTCAACGACTTTTTGGGGTCCAGAAGCGCATTAATCAATGTTTTTGTTACCCTCGTCTGAAGTTCATTATAAACATGCCCAAACCTGCAACCAAATAAGATTATATGCTATGAAACATAAAACTAGAACTACAAAGATGTTGGATTATGATGAACTAATTCAAACGCCTGAGTGGTTACTACATTAGTTCCAAAGAAGGATGAGTAACTCTGGATTCACCATGAAACAAGTAAAGGCAAATAGTCTACCTTTTGCATATTGAGGCAACTAGGTTAGCCGTGTAGTTCCTTAGTTCCCAGTGGTTGTCCGCCAGTCTATTCCCCAACCGTCTTGCAACAAGGCAGGTCACAACAGATGGCATCAAATCGTGTAGCTGAAAAGAAATTCAATGCCTTACCAAAATTTAGGACACAAGCTGTTCAGGTTAAGCAGCTTCTTTTTGTGCATTAATTTAGAATACCCAATAAAAGCGATTTGATCATGAAATTTGTCCTATGTGGGCTCACATAAAGCTGAATGTTGATGTGTCGATTCTGAAGGAGACTCGAAACAACACGCATCAAAGCAAAGAGAAGGGAGAAATCCTGTAAACCTCTGGAAACCTGCAATTTACCAAAGCAGGAACTTAATTGCAATTTGCAAGCAAAATGACATAAATGATAGTCAACGGTGGTCTTCAGACCACATGGAGCATTACCTCGTCCTTTATGAAGCAAATGAAATAAGGAACTAGTGGGTGAAGTCCCGAATCAGTAGCTAGACTGACTAATGCTTGCTTAAAGAGGGGAGAATCGGACCTTCTCAAAGTCAGCTCTGTGATTTTGTCAAAGTAAAGCTGCCAAGACGGTAACCATCAATAGCTGACTACATCAAGGTCGACATCACAGCAGAAACGACGAAATGTTATTGGTCGTATGTCACAAACCTGTAATTCCCTTGATAATACGTGCTTCACAGGCAACTTTATATCCACTGGAAGAAGTTCATTCTTCGGTTCAAAGTTTTTCCCCTCAGACGGAGGAGCAATAACTGAGATACAGAGAATAACCAACCCCAATATTAGATCCCCTTAACTATGAATACAAGTCCACTCTCAGGTCCTAGCTACTTGAGTTCAATACCGGGTCTCACATCAAAGGTGAAACCTTTCACTTCTTCCCACAAGAGGGCTCCTCCTAGATATTTCATTTCACCATGCCACAACTAGCCCAGATTCTTCAGGTCGGATATCCCGTAAACCAATCAACAAGAAAAAAGCCTAGAAAAGAAATAGAGAGAGAACTGACCTTGCAGTGGAGCATTCTCAGGGATAGCAGGCTGCACACCGTCAATAGCTAACCAGTGACAAACAAGTGAAGCATCGAGCGGTGCTTTCGGCAAAGGAGCCTCAATCACCTTTCCACCCATTCCGGAAATAAAAACACACGCAACACGCCACGTCAAACAAACACCACTCCAACAGCAGAATCAAATGCTAAAAACATGTTAATTCCAGGCTTACATCCTTAAAATCCACATCCTTGTCATCAATGTAGAACAAATCCTTGTGCCCAATTGCTCTCTTGAACCGCAGCGGCCCTCCCGAAGCAAATCCGTACACCGGCTGCCCCCCGACGAACCCAATCGAAGAAAAAGAACGAAGAGATTGAATCCAAAGTGATATTCAAAAGCAAACGAAAGAGAGATTCTCTCTCTTGTCCATTTACCTCGACGTTTCTGAGGGTGAGAGCGGCGTCGACATCATCTGCAGTGATGGTGGTTCGACGGGAATGGCGCATGGATTTGATTGATTCCTGGATGATTTCGCGGAGTCGGTACTCGACATCGGGTGCGAGAGCTAGAGCTGCATCGGAGGACAAATTGCTGATTCCGATGCTTTGAGCTATGACTTCGATTGTCTCCTTCGGGACGATGCTCATGGCGTTTGTTTTGGGATCGGATAACTGGCGGTCCGTTTAACTGTTTTGGCGACTGTCTCAGTCTGTGATGAAAGTAAAGAAACCCTTGCCTTGAAGACTGAAGTGGTTCATCATGCTTTTATACTTCTATCATCTATGCATACCGCAGAGGACAGGGGACGGAAGCCGGGTTCAGCCGGTTTATCCGAATGGACCGGGTCTAATTGGGATCTGGGTTTATGCGAGTGAATTGGAATATTAGGCTCTATTCATTTCAATTTTCGTTTCTGTTTTCTGTTTTCATGTCATAATTTGGCAACCGAAATGAGAAAACATGTTTACTTTTCATTCTGTTTTCTATTCGTTTCCAACTATGAAAACAGAAAGCGGCAACTTCCTGCTGTTTTCGGAAAGGACAAAATGTTGTTTTCACCTGTTTTCAACATTTGTTTTCTCAAAAACAAGAAATAGAAATGAAAGTAAACATGCCCTTAGGTTTTTTTTCAATGTTTGTGAAACCATATTATGATAGAAACCGATTTCTATCGGATTTCTATTATAATATTATTAGGTTTATTATTATTAAGGTTAGTAGTCTTTTAGTCGTATTAGGTTAAATGTTAGGGTTTTATGGTTCTTTTCCTATATATGTATGTTGTTATTCGTCTATCCAATCAAGAAGAAGAAGAATATTAAGAAAACTCTCCTAAACCCTAATCTTCCAATCCTCTCAATTCTTGATCTTAATTCCTCTAGAGGCCTAGGCCGATTCTCTATCTTCTCTTCTCAAATCCCTAATTTTGTTCTTAAATCCCTAATTCTCACTCTCACAACCAGATATGATAGAACCCTATTACCAAGTTTCTATCATTTGGTATCAGAGCCCCGTTCTGATTCAATTGACTCTATATTCAATTGGATCTATCTATTTTCGATCCATCTACCTCCATCACATATAACTCCATAATTCCCATTCACTCTCAATCACCAACATAACAACACCAAATCCTCAATCTGCATGAGACTGGAGGGTGATTATTTCCCATAATCCCAATCACCACCCCACCCTCTCTTTGGCAAGACAAGCCCCTGTGGATGCAAGTGAAATTTTATTGGCGCCCACAATTCCGCAGCCGCAACCTCTCCGCTGATCAATGGCCATCAACCCCTTCGAGGCCCTCCCGAGGGCAATGGCGGCAATCGAGGACACCCTCACTAAAGTCATCACCCAACAGTTTGCACAACTTCGGGCGATGATTGAAGACCACTTCCAATCCACCACTGCCATATACCAAGCCCTTCACCAGCGGTTTGAAGAGCTCGAACGGCTTCCGGCGTTGGCTGTCACGGTGCAAGAAAAGTCAGTCACTCAACCAGCCATGCTGAACGCACCAGTACCACAACCACAGGCAGACAAGGAAATGCCGATGGGGGCCGTCCTGGATTCAATCATTCTGCCAACCAAAGCGGTGACTCCGCAGCCAGGCGGACAACGACTCGGTATCGGCTTTCCACTAGTCAGTCGTCTCTTGGAGAATCATACTAATCCCGCTGTCGACGACAACTCCAGCGATCAAGGAACCATCGACTACTACACTACTTCGGAAAGGAAGTTGGCGGGCCACAATTTCTCAGCTGACTTCATTGCAGGGCAGCGAGATGTAGGGTGTTCGAGGCTCGTGAACTACAAGGAGCACAATTTTGGAGCAATTGATTATGGGCCACTTAGGAAGCAGTATGGGTCGGTGGATTATGGCTCGAGCCCTTTGAGCAATTGTGTCCAACCAAACCAACAATGGTTTGATCCAATGGACCTACATGGGTTGGATCCTGATTCAATAGGGCTAAGCAAATGGGCTAATTATTGTGTCTATCATGGTCGTGAAACGACAATGTTAAAACCATGACAAGTGTATAGCGTGGAACAGAGTTCGAATGACTCCATGAAGATGAACGTGAGTATGATGATGACGGGTACTGGCCTCAACAACGACGCCCTGAAGATCGCCGCACTCCGCCGATCAAGACAGCTACACGGCGATTAAGCCGCGACTAAGAAAGCGGGTTCACTAGCCGACCAAGCTATAGAGAGGAGGGAAGGCATGGCTATCATGCTCCTTTGCGCTCCATATATCGATATGATTAGTAGCATTATTTTATTTGGTCAACCTTGAGGGCAATGTTGGTCTCAAGGGAGAGGGGATGATAGAAACCGATTTCTATCGGGTTTCTATTATAATATTATTAGGTTTATTACTATTAAGGTTAGTAGTCTTTTAGTCGTATTAGGTTTATTGTTAGGGTTTTATGGTTCTTTTCCTATATGTGTACGTTGTTATTCTTCTATTCAATCAAGAAGAAGAAGAATATTAAGAAAACTCTCCTAAACCCTAATCTTCCAATCCTCTCAATTCTTGATCTTAATCCCTCTAAAGGCCTAGGACGATTCTCTATCTTCTCTTCTCAAATCCCTAATTCTTTTCTTAAATCTCTAATTCTCACTCTCACAACCAGATCCAATAGAACCCTAATACCAGGTTTCTATCATATTAGATGTTACAACCGAAAAGTTGTTGGTAGGATATGTTGTAGTAAAATCGTGACTAACTAGTGGTTCAACCGTTTTGTAACGCTAAATTTAGAATTTGTAGTAGAATTTTGGAGCAATCCGATTTCTTGTCGGACCAACCGGTATGGTAGGGCTTTTTAAACCATGGTTTTTAAGTTTGTGGGGGAGAGAAAGCTCAATTTAGAATTTTCAAGTTGAAAATCCACCTTTGAATTGCTAGATTAATTTCTCTTTCGTGTTGCCGTGTTGGAGAGTTCAAGCGTTCCTCAAAGGAGGTCTACATGGGAGTATGTGATGCTCTTGATCAAGAAGTCATCCATATAGGGTTCGATGTTGCACCCACCAGTATTGAAAGACTTTGTCGACCATTCTCTTGTAGGTTTCCCTCCGTGTCCTTAAGACATAATGCCATCATGATGTAGCAGTTCTTTCCAATCAGTATCATGAGTCTTCTCTTGGTCTTCAACTTGCAAGAGACTTTTGTGAAAGCAAAAGACACATGTCCATGAAGGACATCATGGCGTTCCAAATAGTTGTTTCAATTAGTTGATTGATTCTTTCAAAAGGGTATGCATTTTTGGAGTGGGCATTATTCAGGTTGGTATAGTCAATGCATACTCGAGTGCCACTAGACGGCTTTGGAAGTAACACAAGGTTGGATACCAGGTTGAATACATCACCACCCTGATGAATTTTGACGCTTCAAGCTTATGTAAACCCTTAAGGAAAGCTTATTTCTTTTGCTTTCATAACCGTATCATCTTTGATATACTAGACCTACACCTGGTTCGGTCCACCAAGGTGTGTTTAACTATTTTCGTTCGGATACTGATGCATTGTCGCGCATCGAGCTTTACATTTATAAACTCCATCATCGAAAATACTAGCTACCTCAACCTATGACAAGGGCACCCTAGATCGTCAAAGTAGTATAGTGGTGACCGATGTCGTATTCCAAGGGTCACAATATCCTAGACTTTTGGCTCGGTTGTTATCTAGTCAACATGATACTTAACAGGTGGACAGTTGGCGATTGTTGAACTAGAGGTCGATAGAGGAGAAGAGGTACTCAGGGTGCCTCGCTCGCCCTAACTAAAGGAAATGACATGCAAAAGCATAAAAGGATGACTTATGGCGATTGAGGTGCGAAGATCGTAACCTAGGGATCGACTCAATGGTCATTCAACTGATCCCACTCCTACACCAATCTACTAGCCCAATGTCACCTCAGCTAGCTTCACATAGAAGAGATAAAACTTATCTCCTCCAAATGGGTTCTACCCATCCGCACACTAGACCGTTGGTCAAGCCTCAACGTCCTAGCATTACCTAGGTGGACGTCTAATAGGTAGTGGTACGGTCGCCTCATCCACCATACTAGACTCCTAGATCATTTATATACTCCTAATTAGCTTAAGGCGCTCAAATCCCATATAATTCATCTACTCCTAAGTAGTAAGCTAGATGAAAAGAATTAGAGAGACAAGCCCATGCATAATAAATCATAGATGAAGCATAAAACACTAGGCAAACTCAATTCATCCATAAATCACAAATTGAGCATGAATAATCATCTACCACCCAAGTTGCAACTAGGGAAAATGGGATACAAACAATCTCACACTACTTGATGCAAGAAAGACAAACTTCAACTAGACATAGGCTATTAGGTTCATTAACATTAACAAATCTAGGCTAAAACATCCTATTACATATCAAATCCAAAGTTAGGGTTAGGGTGACAAAGCCCCAAAGTACCTTGAGGGATTACCCCCATGAAGAGGAGGAGAAGATACATGCAAAGAGGGGAAGAAATCACGAGGAAGGGTCTTCAAGTGTTGGAAATCCTCCTCCAAAAATATCCTTCACTTCTTCTACTCCTCTTCTTCTCAAAGCTTCTACTTCTCTCTCTAACCTCACTCTAAAATAAGAAATCTGTCAAAAGCCCTCTACTCAAGGAACGGAACCCCTTATTTATAGAGTTCTGAGATGACAGGCAAGTTCACGGTCACAGAAGGGATATACGTGGTCGCGATCTTGGCTTTAGCAAATTTGGTCTTGTCTTGCTTGAGAGATCGCGACCTGACATCACAGTCACGGTCAGGGATGTCACGGCTGCGATCTTTCTCGCAACCTTGGACAACGATAGCCGCGAGTCAATTGTCGAGACTCTCTGGTCCTCCCTTGACGACTACTTCTTCAAGTTCTCGCCCAAAGCTCCAAGTTTGCGGCCACGATATATGCCATTGAGGACATGATTGTCCATATCCACTTTGCGCCCTTGCTACCCGACCGTGATCTCCATCCCTTGCCCACGGTCTCTCATTTTTGCCCCATTTTCTACACTTGTGACGTAATTTCGTGCCTAAAATGCATGTGTCATCTAATACACCTTAAATTGATGATATTTTCTCTGATGAAAGAATTAAGGATGTATTGGATGAAATATCAACCAATGAGACCACAAAATGACTTAAAATGACCCTAAATATATAGGGGCGAATAACACCACTTTGGGTGTTATCAACTCCCCCACACTAAGGTGT